AGAAATTTTGCTTGATCCATAGTAAAGAAAACACATGATATACATACAGAGGTGGGTAGTAACTAGTTACATTTACTTGAGCAAGTTTTTGAAAAAACTTTGCTTTTAAAGTATACTCGACCCACCTCTGTATGAATAAGACTGAAAGTCCATATAGACTTGCAGACTTATAGTGAAGCTAACATTAAATGGTAACAGGTTCTGATGCTTTGGTCAAGAGATTATTGCTCCTAACAAAGAAGACAGCAAATAGTTTGGCTTGTTGTTATAATTACCTTCTCTGTAGCTCCAGGAAAAGTTTGGCTGGGATGCCTTTAAGAAGGTGTTTGCTGCGTACCACCACATGAGAGACTTTCCTGATGACAATGACACAAAGATGAACCTGTATGCTGAGACTTTCTCGCAGACTGTGGGGATGAACCTGACCGGCTTCTTCAAGGCCTGGGGCTGGCCCATCAAAACAGCCACTGAGGAAAAATTATCCCAGCTGCCTCCCTGGAATGATCACCCCATGATCCAGTAAAAATGAACTGAACACAACTGCAGACTAAAAAAAGTCATTTTAGTTCTCCGCAGTGAAACTTCAGTTCTTTAAATTAATCTTTTCATGACATTTATTTCAATCTTGCATTGTATCCCATTTGAAAAGCGAATGTAGCGGCTTCTTTCACACTACATGCCAGAATCATTTACTCCAAATTGTTGACCTTCCAAATTAAATAGAACATTTCTTAAATTTTAATTAGTGCTGTCAGTGTTAATCTCGTTAAAATGACATTAACGCCATAACCACATTAAGGCAGCAAATCTCCTTCAGCAAGTTAACGTGGATCGCCCTGTGCACTAACGCATTAACGAGCTAACCGCGCAAACGCATTGATGCTGTGCAGCCCCGGGCACGGGCCAATCCACATTAATCATCCTGAAATAACCATGTAATACTTTCACTGAACTTTCTGGGATTTTCTTTGTTTCATGTCTGTGTTACATGACTGTACCTGCAGCATTGGATATAATAATTACTTTTTGCATCTTGACTGAGAATTGGTTCATACAATAAATGACACCAGTATAGTAATGCAAGTAATCTTGTTTACTTTTGTAATTAGGTTTTGTTATG